TCATTATGGGTGAATTTATCATGGGGCTTGATAACATTTAGAGTAGATAAATGAAAACCTGGAGGACTGGATGGCATAAGAAGTCACCGATAGTTTCTGAAGACAAAACTCTAGCTTTTCCCTACATTATTACAACAGTCACAAGTCCTACATTCTATTTAACATGGCATTGTACGTATAAACAATAATAAGAAATCTGGTATTCTGCATATTTAACTGTTTCATTGAGAGTCCTCCTTTTATTCAGTAGTAGAAATGCATACTGCAATCTATCTTCACTTCTCAAGATGCTAGTTTCCATTATATAGTTAATCCATGAGAATATATGTATATACATGTTTACCTATATATCTGTTTTGTGGCTTGCATGAAGGTTGCCTTCTATCAGAGAAAATCTATGATATCTGTCCTTTTGGGATTGGGTTTTTCATACATGTGTTTTCCAGAAACCTTTAAAAGGCTCACAAAGAATCACTCAGGACCTAGTATAATGCCCTGTACAATGCGTATGAATGAACTCCTTGCAATATACATCACATATCTCCAGTTGTGAATTTCTGTTGATGCTGTTCATTTATCGCAGTGGCTGCTTCTCTAATAGCCACTTGTCCTCCTCAGCCTTTGAAAATCTTAACTCAGGATCCCAGTCCTCACTGAAATAATGTCATTCTCTTCCATGAGCCTCTCTCTAAATCACCGCAGCCAAAGTGAGTCTGCGTTCAGCATTACTTTAACATATCCTGGTTCAGACCATTAATATCCACTTTGGTCACTAACATACACTGTTTCCTATTGTAATTCTTCTACATACTCTTTTATTTAATTCATAATAAGTTCCCTGAAGAAAGAAATAACTGTATTCTTTATAATCTTAAAATCAAGTTTTAAACATAGGATGCCTTAAAAAGATTTACTTATTTATTTGGAAGGCAGAGTTTCAGAAGGAGAAAGCGATGCTGGCATTGCATGTTGAGGATTAGTTTACTAAGCTATGGCACCAGTACTGAGAACATCCAGTAGAAACTGGGTGATAGAATGACAGCCTTGTTTACTGATTATGTCTCATTACCCTTCTTGAAGGACAATTAAACTGAGTAAACTTTCTGAGATTAGTATATTTCTAATTGTTCATCTTTCAGCACAAGAGAAAGTGCTGCAGAAGGTTTTCAGAGCCAAGCTTCCCTGGGTCTACACACGCACCGTCTGTTATTCCTGGGGGTGTTCCTGAGAGGCCACAACTGCTGGCCAGCCCCAAGGAAAATACGAAAAAAAAAAAATGCTTGTGAAACTACACTCATGTCTGTTCTATTTTCAAAAATTCTTCAGCTATATTTTTAGTGTGCTGTATACAATGGGAGAGAAAGTAAAAATAAAGTGATTTGATCCAAACCTGGCAGAAAGAGAAACACAACGCTCATGAGTGTCATGTAAGACCATCATCCATGTCTAGTCAGGTTCATCTGTGAGAATACATGTATGTATATCTAGTCAGATGCAAACTCTGGCTGATCCCATAGGTGGCCAAACTGGTGAACACACACACACTTACTGATACACCAGCAGGCACACACGTGCCTGAACATGCTCATCTGTATTTTCTTATGTAAACACCAAATCCCATCCTTATTTCCCTCATTTTATGGAAGCATTATGAAATATTCACATATTGCAAAGGAATTTCAGTTAGCCTAATGTGAAAAAAAAAACTAGATGCTAACTTAATTTTTATGTGTAAGTCCTGATAGGATATTGCAATTTGTGTTTTCTATCAAGCATTGCATTTTCTTAAGCTCTGGCCTTCCCAAACACACGAACAAAAAACAAAGCATAAAACTATCACAAAACAAATAGGGAAGCAAATGTTAGCTAATGGGGATGGCTAACAGTCATCCTAAAAGCAATGTGCTTAAACGGCAGCTTGTGTAGCCCACACACTGTGACAGAGTGCCCGTTGAATCCCAGTTATTCTGCATGCAATCCAGCGTCCTGCTAACACATCCTGGGAGGTGGCAGATGGTGACTGAAACTCTTGGGCCCATTTACACATCTGGGAGACCCACACACAGTTCCTGGCTCCTGACCTCAGCCAGGTCTGCTGTAGCTTTTGCAGGCATTTAGGAGGCAAATCAGCATAGGAAAGATTTCTTCATAAGCTCCCCCTTTTTCTTTCTGTCACTCCTTCTTTCTAACAAATACAATGACGCTTAAAAAAATCACAGCTAATGAAGGAAACTAAACCATGACCTCATCAGTTTACTGTTATCCACATTCCCATGTTTGCTTCCAAATTTATATTTCATCAGAAAGGCAGAGTGACAGAGAATGAAGTGGGGGAGCAGAGAAAGAGAGAGAGAATATCCAACCACTGGTTCATTCCCAAAATGTCCTTCACAGCTAGGCTGGATCAAACTAAAGCCAGGAGCCAATAATTCCATCTTGGTCTCCCATGTGAGTGACCAGGACTCAGACACTTGGAATATGATCTTCTGTCCTCGGATGCACAGGTGGGACTTGGTCTTGGGCATCACAAGGGGTGGTTTAACGTGATACACCACTTTACATATTTCACATACTCCCTTGTTTATTGCAGAATTGTTCAAAGCAGTCAAGATAAATGGAAACAACCCTGGGTCCTATCAATAGATAAAAGAAAAAGACATGAAGTATATAACATATATTACATATATCATTCTATCCTTAAAAAGGAGGAAATCATTTCATTTGCCATAAGACAGAAGGACCTGGATATCAGGTTGATATTTCATGGTCACACTTACATGTGGAATATCTAAAAGGATCAAATAATATGCAAATAAGATAGTGGCTACCAGTGTCAATGGAAGGGAAGAAAATGAGGAAGATTATGTCAAAGGATGCAGAGCAGCAAATATGTGGGATAGACAAGCTGAAAGATCTAATAATGCACAATACAAGGACCATAGTTAACCATAGCACATATTGTCAGGATTTTTGCAAGTGGATATATTGTAGCAGATATTACAGTAGAGCTGGGAAAGCAGGTAACTATGTAGGATGATAGATATGTTAATTTGTTTGACCATGGTAGCCATCATCCTATAAATATGCATCTTATAATATCACATTATATATCTTCAATATACAGGATAATGGTTATTTTTTAGAAGCCAGCTAATGATGTCTTTTTCTTTCTCCATTCTTCCTTATGAAGCCCAAGGCTTACTAAAATGTTAAAGCAGTTGAAAGAGATGCTCCTTGCAAGAGCTCATAACTCAGGTGCAGATGCATTTTTATTTATTTATTTTTAAGCTATTCCCATGACATATACTTCACTTCGTAGGTTTTCAACAATTCCTCAAGTCTTGATCAGGAGAGTGAAAGTCACCTTAACAAAGAAAGGAGAGATTTAACTGCCCTGGCTGGCTCTGGAAGAGCAGAGGATCTCAGCTTTAATTCTTTGGCTCCAAACCAGGGTCTAAAATCAGCCATGGGAAAAGCTGCTGAAATGGAGTCTGCAATTCTCTCCACACTGACTTGCATAATGTTGACATTAGAACACCAGAGAGACACACAAATATTTCAAACAATTATGACTTCTTTTCCATAAATATTTCAAAATTGCTTTAAGAGATAAAATAACATATGTCTCTTTCTGAGTTACTTTGGTCACCCCGAGGAGCAGCTCCCTACTATGGATTTATTTTTGGCTAGAAGGTCAGAGAGGATATCTTCAAGCGCTAAGTCAGCCGTTAAACTGCGTTTTGCACGGTGAGTTGCATGGTGAGCACAGAGTCAACTACCCTTAAAGCAACACTGAATTCTGTGTCATATCATGCAAGAATATGTTGTTTCTTTCTCTGTGGAAGCCCATAAAGGAAAAACAATTAAATATTCACAGTGATCTTTTTTACAACTTTCTAGGGGAAGGTATTAGAGCATGTCACAGGGGATTTAGCCACCATTTGGGATAGAGATATCCTGTTTGGACGTGTTGGCTTAAATTCTGGCTAGTTTGTTTTTGATCTGGCCTCCTTCTGATGCACCTGTGAGTGCTGGCTGGAGTACCTGAGTATCTCCACCTACGTGGGAGAGGCGGATAGAGTTTAGCTTGGCCCATCCCCAACTGATGTAAGCATTTGGGTAGTGAACCAGCAGAGAGGGTAAGTCTCTCTCCTTCTCTCTCTCACCCTCTCATTTTTCATCTTCTGTTTTCAAATAAGTAAATAACAATTAAAAGAAAAATAAAAGTGTTTCATCTCCTTAATAAGCATAGCTTTACCTCTGGATAGAAAAAAAATCTCGTCTCCCTTCCTCTGTTATAACTCTCACTTTTTTCAGTTATTTCTCTCTGAAACCCAAGTCTGAAGTCTGAATGCTAAAAGAGGTCTCCACAAAGTTCATGGAAACATGAAATTAAAATATATTCGCTTTCATGAAAATTGAGATTTCTCTACTAGGAGAAAGACAAAAAGAAAAAAAAAGGAGAATTATAAGGACTGCCAAGAAAGCTCACGCTTTTAGGTACATCATTCAACAATCTCAGGAGTCTGTTCCCTCCAAAGCAGCCAGATGGCAATCACACTGAGAGTGAGAGATGAAATTCATTTGAAACCTGCAATTTCCTCTATCACAGAAAACAATGAAAGGGACAGAAGTTTGAGTTCTAGAAACAGACTATGATATCCTTCGTCATGGATGAGCTGAGTGGGGTTTCAATAACTTCCTGGAGCCTAGGCGCCAGAGATCTGGCTTGCCTTCAACATAAATGTCCTCAGCATGATTTATAGCATTTATATTTGATGGGAAAACCTCAGATGCCAGAGATGACTACTGTTGTTCTACAAGGAAAACAGAAAAGACTTCCTCATTTGTGATTTGAAAGCTAATACAGGTGTCCTATTTGCTGCTACTTAAAGTTTGTATCTTTTAGGAAAACCACCCAAAGAGTTCGGACTTGATACATAAGATTTGTTGTTGCTTCAAAATGCTTGGAGTGGGGAAAAAGAAAAAGCACAACTCACCCTCACTTCCAGAGAAAGCATCACTTGAACCTGCCAGTGCCACAGTCAACAGCAGCTGCCAGAGATCCATACCTGTAGGACCTGTAATCACAAGAAGATAAAGTGTAACAATTACAAGTAGGCCATTGTCATGAAATACCGCTGAAAGATTGCTTAAACCATGAATGAGCTGACAGGTAGGTCTAGAAGCAATGCTTGTAAGTCTTTCATTGCCTTCGAGTCTCATATGGTCATTCTTTTCCTGTACAAACAGCAGGTTGCAATAAATTCTATTTCCTGTGAGTGTTCTCCTCAGGAAATAGCATGGACACTAGAGATTTTCATCTGCTGGCTGATGGCCACAGAACCCCTTCTAGTCAATGACCCTCCCCTCAACTCACTGCTTCCATAACAAGGCTAGTGTGGCTCACTTTAATTGGATCTAGAAATAGAAAAACTAGCCCGCAGTATCACCAAGCATGGGGCCTTGGGAAGGACAGACCACATAAAGAAAAACAATTCATTGCATAAGATTACTCAGGGCAATTTTATAGTCACCAAAAATGTTCAATTAACACAGGAAACACTGTGCTGGTCTGCTATTCCAAGGAGATATAACTAGAAGGGAAGAAGGAAGGAGAGGTGCAAAAGAAAACAGAACATCTGTGCTAGCTAGGTGGCCTTCCTTGGAGACTGAGTTCCCCTGTGCTTTTAATTTTATGAGGATTGCAGGCTCTGAAAGAACCAAGAACTGAACACTCCAGAGATCAAGAGGAATGGGTTTGTGGCCTCTTGTAGTCAATTGGCATCCCTGGTGTGATCACAGGTTGGTGGGCCCTTCAGGGAGCAGATCAACACACCTTGGATGGCACACACGCTGCTTTGGAGAAATTAGCCTCTGGAAAAGAAAGTGCCAGAGCACCCATACCCAAGGGATTCAGAGATAGGTTTATGCTGGCTGGACATCAGCTCAGCATCTGGTCTTCTAGAACTGTGGTTGTATCTGATAAGTAATAGCAACTGTTTGAAAACTGAGTGGTGATGCTTCTGTCAAGCCACACTACTCACAGATTAGTCAGGTGTATCTGAGCATCCCGCCAGGGTTTCCACTAGCCTCAGGTTTATCACTGTGCAAATTTCCTGCTATCTCAAATAAGGCAGAGATGATAAGCAACATTCGCTTTCATGAGTCAACATATATGATTCTCCAAACAAGCAATGGAATTTTGAAAAGGTATACAATTTCTGATGTCTTCTACGTTCATTTCTTGACAGTGAAAACCAATTTATTTTCTGTTCCATGAATATGCATGTTCTCATAAACTTCTCATTTAAGAAAATATATCTCTTCATGGACTCAACATCTTCCTGCACCTGAACACCCATGTTCGGACTCCACACGTGATAAGTAACCCTTCCCCTGATACACTGCTCATGGAGTCATCCACAGGATCAAGTGTGAAAGTGCAAATGAATACAATTTGTTAGCTGTGAGATTTCAAAAAATGTGAGTTGCAGCTATTACAACACCCATGTTTTTGGTTCCTAACCTGGAAGGCACTGGCCAGATGGCCTTGCATCATCCTTGTCCACTCGGCAAATGTGAACTCTGAGCGTCTCTGCCTGTGATCTTTTTGAGGGGCAAGGGAAAAATGGGAGGCTTTGTTGACTTGATAGGAGTAAAAATTCAGTATGAATGTTCTGGCTATGGGGATGAATTCTCAGTATATTCAGGGTAATATTCTGATGAAGCTAATGGTTAGAAAATAATCCGCAATTATTAGGGATACAAAATCAGATTGGCAAGACAGGACCAGACTGAAATATCATTTTCAACTCACATTGAATAGAAAACGAATGGAGATTTTGATATAAATAACATGTTCAAAAGTGAAATTTTCTTAGAATAAAATGTGCTCCTCTTGCCCTCTTAAAGTGATATCATTGAAAAATAATGACAAAATAATTGGACATAAAAGATGATCAAAAGACATCCAGGTCTATCACAAGACTGGAGATACTAGTGACTAAGACGATACTATTGACAGAAATCAGGAAGGTTACTTGATGTTTTGGATGTTTGGATGTTTAAGGAAATTAGAAGATTACAAAAAAATTAGAAATGTCTCATGAGACACTTAAAGTAAGAAACCCAAGGTTGAAAAGGAAGAGAGGTCATTACAAATATGAGAGAGTGTTACATAAAGATGGTGAGTAATAGCTGAATTCAATGTGAAGGTTAGATTATTTGGTCAAAAAATCCACGTCACCTTTATCAAAAGTGATAATGAAACAGCAGGTTAAGTAATCCATGAGCAAATGTGCTCATATGAGTCACCCACCAAAGCACTCTCTGATTTGTGTCCAGTATTTAAAAGGGAAGTGATCAGAGGCGTTCCTAGAAATATGCTAGCAAGTTAATACATGGTAGGAGTCAAACAAGAGACGAAGGAGCCCAGAGTTCTGTGGAGGCAGTGCAGGGAGGACACCAACCTGGCAAATGAATGAATCAGTTGCTCCAAAGTCTCTGATTGATCAAGCTATTCCAACCATGCCGGAAAGTGTGAGCTGATTTTAGCAATTGCAACAATGATGGCATTGTTTACATTGCAAACCCATGGCTCCAGGTAGGTAACCCAAGAAATGTGAACTTTATGATGCTGGGGCCAACTACTAATGAAATCTTGCAAAACAGAATTAATTGATTTTCTGGTGGAGCTTTTTGAAGAATGTAGTACAAAGAAGGAAGGAAGGAAAGAAGGAAGGAAGGAAGGAAGGAAGGAAGGAAGGAAGGAAGGAAGGAAGGAAGGAAGGAAGGAAGGAAGGAAGGAAGGAAGGAAAGAAGGAAGGAAGGAAGGAAGGAAGGAAGGAAGGAAGGAAGGAAGGAAGGAAGGAAGGAAGGAATGGAAGGAAGGAAGGAAGGAAAAGATTAATCCAAAAAGTTGAAACCATCCATTCCAATTAGCACCAGACATTTCATTCAAACAGTTTGCATTTCAGAGTTCATGCTATTTCCTTTTCATGGTGCTGACCATGTAAAAACTGGTCTGATCTAAATGTTTTAGATCAATTTATTTGCTGTCCCTCAGAGAGGAGGGAGAGATGTACAGACTTTTTTTGGTAAAGTCATGCAGCTTGATTCAGATTTCTCCACTCTCAGAAATGTAGTAATAGCCACTAAAGGAGAATTCTAAGTGTGTAAGGTATCAGAAGACAAAGAAAGCTTTGGGTAGTGCTGTATATACTAGGCCTCCTGTAAACCAAATAAACATACCTGATCTGTATCTGTTGACCAATTTGGTTACTCTCAGTCACACATGACTACTGAACACTTGAAATATGGCTAAAACAATGGAGGAACTGAACAGAGATTTTATTTAATTTCAATTAAATAAATAAGCACTTCACTAGTATATTTGAAATGGTTTGGATGTGTGAATCTACTTTCCAGCTGCTAATTTTATGAATTCAAATCATCTATTTCTGCTGAAAATTTAAAATCTAAATTGAATGTGCTTTAAAAGTATTCATAGATTTTGAAGTTTTGGTACCAAAAAAAATGATGCAAAATATCTCAATGATGTACCATCACTCTTACTGAAATCATATTTTAGACTAATGACTTTAAATATACAATTAAAATTCATATTTGCTACTTATTATTTTAACAATGTGATTAGTTGGAAAATTCAAATACATGAGGCTTGTATTATATTTCTATTTGACATTTACATACACATTTTATGATTTGTATATTAGTTGCAATAAAAATGTTTTTGTGTTAACGTGATCATATTTACTTTTATTTATTTGTTTTTCAAGTAAAATAAATTCTTGTGTATATATGTATATACACGCATATATACATACATACATACACAAATGCATGTAAGAACTTCAGAAGTTTTAGACATAGAATGAAAAGATAACCTTATCTTTGATCAAAAAAAAAAAAAACTCTGAGAGAGGGTGGATACCATGACGCAGTTGGCAAAGCTTTCACCTGCAGTGCTGGCATCCCATATGGGCACATGTCATACCCTGGCTGCTTCACTCCCAATCCAGCTCCCTGATTATTGCTTAAGTAAATAGTGGAGGATGACCAAAGGCCTTGGGCCCCTGCACCCATGTGGGAGACCAGAAGAAACTCCTGACTCTTAGGAGGCTGTGGATTGGCTCAGCTCCAGCCATTTGAGGAGTGAATCTCTCTGTAATCTGCTTTTCAAATAAAAATAAATCAATCTTAAAAACACAAGAAGTATTCCTGTTCACTCAGTAACCGTGCTAGAGCAATAAATAATGCATACTGGCAAGTATGTAACACCTGACTCTAGAATATTGAGAAAACGCCAACCTCAGTGGTGTAAGTACTTCCACCAAGGCTGATTGTAAGCCTCCATGGTGAAGGCACTGTAACTGGACTCAAAGCTAACATGTTGGGCCCCAGACACCCTTGGCCAAGTTCGTGAATGATGCTCTCTAGGCATCATGTAAGGTAACAGAAACAGATTAAACATTATGCTGACACTGACACAAAATGCAAGAGACAGTGGTGTTGTGAGAACCTGGGACATCTGATTTCATTTGATGACGTCTGACTCACTGTCAGCAGATTGCACTGTGTGAATAATCATTGAGAGATCCTTTCACGGGTCTACAGGCATTAGCACCAGTCTTAGCACATATGCTGTCCTTGGTTTTCTTTTACAGAGGGGGCTGAGTTTTACACTTAAATGAATATGTTCTGGAATCAGAAAAAGCTATGTTTAAATATTAGCTTTGTCAAACTTAATTTATTCATCTCTTATATCTTCTTTTCTCCTTTTTCATTGAAAAAAAAAATCAATATTAGAAGAGGTTATTTATTCAAAGACTTTGACTTGGAATGTATCTTTTAAAAGTTGTCATCCTGGTTAAAGTCTTCCTGGCAATAACAAGAAGTAGATTATGTTTTACAATGTTCCCATGGGACTAGGACAGTGGCTCTCATAAAGTACAAATGTTGACAAGCAGAAAATGAGCAGAAAGTGTGTCCTTGGGCACATAGGATGTTAAGGTTCCATTTCTAGATGGGTTCAGGAAAGGGCAGAAATATCAGGATAAAAA